ACATATCCCTCTCCATCACTCCCCCACCTGGGGGACTGTGCTTGTCTTTTTCCACCTTTGATCTAGTCTCTGTTACCGAGTCTTAGCTAGGTTACAATTCACTGAGTACTTAACCACAGGGAAAGGTCTAGTCTTAGCTAGGTTACAATTCACTGAGTACTTAACCACAGGGAAAGGTCTCCATCATCCAGGGATGATGTATTCCCTTCCTAATTGCCTTAGGTAATAGGACTTTGTCTAGCACACGTGCCATATGCTACAGCCCACCTCCACCTGGGCAGCCTTCAAAGGAGGTGATATTGTGTCCCCAAAAGGATGGTGGCAAATTCAGGAGAGGACTGGGATCATCACTTCTCTAGATCTTACTTTGGTAAACCAAAGGAAGACCTTTTTTGCACATGACTAGGTGTGGACAGGCACGCTGTGATTTTTATCCATTCATCCATTCATCTATCGATCTATCTATCTATCTATCTATCTATCTATCTATCTATCTATCTATATTAGCAAGCACAGTTCTAACAGCTGCTGTGACAAAGAAGTATTCTATACAACAGAGTCATCTATGTGGTCCTTGTGCTTTCTCAACCTGGCACCTTTAAATTGTATAACAGATCTTGCACAGGCCTACTCTCCATTTCTGGGCTGGGTACCAACCACTCTTTCCTATGAAGAACTCTGTCTCCTTGTTTCGTGGCATGCAGCTGGAGGGGTGATCTGAGCCTTTATCATGCCTTTGTCTGCTACCAAGTAGGAGCAATTAGCCTCTTGCCCTTTCCCTCCACAAACACAATTAAACAAAACACAAAGGGACTCCCGCAGAAGGGAAGGTGGCAGTATACAAACAGGACACTGCATTTACTTGCTAATTCACCTTTGGATCCAGCAAGCTGAAAAAGTCCATTCTAATACCAAAGACCTTCCTTTAGACCCCCAAAAGTCCATTCTGCTTCAGCTAACCTAGATCTATTATTCACAAAGAAGATCCTGAGGTTCTGAGGGGGGGAAACTTCCCCAAAGTCCCAGAAAACTGATTGGAGTGAGGTTCACTAATTAGTCCTCAGTCGTGGTCTAGTGCTTTCCTAGAAGGTGTTTCAAACTTATCCCATGTCCCTACACCATGTTAATCCCTTTGCTGGGTTTTTATATTATTGTTAAGGATGGACTTAAGTCATGTACTAATAACTACAGAGGAGTATTAACAACTTAACCATTTTTTTTTTTTTTAAAAAAAGCACACTAGCCGGGCGGTGGTGGCGCACGCCTTTAATCCCAGCACTCGGGAGGCAGAGCCAGGCGGATCTCTGTGAGTTCGAGGCCAGCCTGGGCTACCAAGTGAGTTCCAGGAAAAGGCGCAAAGCTACACAGAGAAACCCTGTCTCGAAAAACCAAAAAAAAAAAAACACACTAGCTTGGATTTTCTTTGCTGGTCTCTGTAGGGACAGTGCCACCCAAGACAGTTGTATTAGAATCATTTTGATTTATTTGATTTCCAAAACCCAGATAAGTTAATTATTTAACTAAAGAAAATGAAATCTGTGACTCCTGGATGATGACCAGCCTAAGAATTGTCTTGCTCATGTGTATGTTTTCCAAACACACATTATCTCCATATCACTACCCATCTACACTTAGGATTCGTAATCACTTGAGAAAAAACAAAACACAATGCCTGTCCTCCGACCACTTGTCTCAACTGACTTGACAACGCATTCTGCTAAAATTACTTTCCCACAGTGATTCATCAGGAGACAAATGATTTCACACTTTCATTTCCCTAAACAGCGTGGGTGGAAAGGGAAAGGAAGCAAACCCAGCTTAGGTAGAGGGCATGTTTGGTGTCCCATCGAGGGGCACAAGGTAATTTCAGTCTTTTTTTTTTTTTAAAGATTTATTTTATTTATTATGTATACAGTGTTCTGCCTGCATGTGTCTTTGCAGGCCAGAAGAGGGCACCAGATCTAATTGCAGGTGGTTGTGAGCCACCATGTGGTTGCTGGGAATTGAACTCAGGACCTCTGGAAGAGCAGTCAGTGCTCTTAACCACTGAGCCATCTCTCCAGCCCCAATTTCAGTCTTTATTCTAATTAGTATGTCTCCTTCAGTTCCCTTAGGATGTCCACACTTTTCTCTGGAAGTGCTGAGTTGGACAACTCACACAGTTGACAATATTCTAGAGCAGCTGCCTCGTCCTGCCGACTGACTATACACCCTTCCATAGCAAGGAGGCAGAAAGGACACCTACAAATGGCTGATTGTACTAGAGGGGAGTCAGCTACCTGGGAGTTTCTTCACCGAATGAAGTGAAAGGAAGGAAGGAAAGAGTAAATAATCCTCTAAAAGACCTTGGTTCTTAAGTACAGAATTGGGCTGTTCTATTTCACGTGGACCCTGTCTGCAATTTTGAATGACAGTTCCTAAACCATAGGCTTGGAGACATAAATCTTCAATCCTAGCATCCCTGTCAGCACTGAGTCAGATGACCTTGACTAGATGAAGCAGAGAATGGAGGCGACTTGCAGCCATCTGAACACACACACACACACACACACACACACACACACACACACACACACCCCAAACAAACAAAAAACCCTCCAGTTTGAAATAACCAGAAAGGGCCTACTTTTCCACCCATCTCTAGAAGCCAAAGTCTGGCCAAAGCTTTGCCTTTCCAGCTTCCTAAGGGGAAATAAAGCCCATGGACCTAGCACTGTCATATCTTTGAGTTTTAGGTTTAGTTTCCAGGTTATGGGCCCCATTCTTATTCAGGAAACACATTCAGGAGTTCCTCTGAACCCTTAGCTATAGCAGAAAATCGGCCTAAACCACTTTAGTCTCAGTCTGGTACTCTTCCCTTAGAATAGTCGGGGTGCTTTGGAACACAGGCCAGCATTGCTTTGTATTGAGAACAACAGAGGAAGCCAAAGGAATCCGTGAATGGTGGAAGCCACTCATCATCTACAGCTCCATATACAGTTGAGCAGCTCAACTTCTGATGATGGAGTCTTCTTCACACACAAGGAGCAGGTGGACAGCAGTGAGAACACGGATGTGCCCACAGAGCAAGGAGTGTGAGGAGAGAGGTGGACTTGGAAATCAGGGCTTCCAGCCCTGGGGGGGAAAGGGGAGGTGAACATGCAAAACCTCCCAAGATAAAAGTGACAACAGGCTGTTAATTGTGGTATCTTTGTTAGATATGGAAAATAGGCCACCCCCAAGTTAACTGAGCTGTGTCCTCAAAAGCAAGGGGTTCTTTCAAGTCATGACATATCCTCTCCTGTTATCTACCTACATCCATCTTCTGCCAGACCCCAGCCAGGCCCCAGCTCAAAGCCCTGTGGGTTTGGAATGTGTGGTGGGGCATGCCTCAACAGAACTACTGACACTGCCTAGTGCAGTTTATGCTTGCCTTTACGAAGGCTTCCAGCCAACCACACAAACCGTAAATGTATCTACTAAACTGCTCTGAAAGGCACATGCACATGTGAGATACTCAGTAGATTCCATAAAAGTCCGCACACGGTTGGAACCTCTGGCTCACCTGGAGAGTAAAACATAACGGGAAATCTTCTCTTTACACTGCCTTAGAATCACATTTCTAGTCTTAAGATCACTTTAGAAAAAAAAAAATCACTGGCCATATTTAGGTATCTAATGTCACAGGGTAGCAGTCTTGAAAACTTGAACCAAAAGAACTACTTAGATCAGGTAAACTTTCTATAAAGGGACAAAGTGTAAAACTGTGGCTTAGGGGCTACGTTAGTCTCTGCCACAACCACAGCACTGTGGTTTAAGAAGAAAACAGCCTCAAGAGAAACACATAAATGGCTAGCATGGCCATGGGTCCCTTAAATCTTTATTTATGGACACTGAAATTTGAAGTTCACATCATTTCCGTATGGTATAAAACATAATTGCTTCTTTTTTTTTTTTTAAGTTTTTCAACTTGTTACCTGTAGGCCATAGAGAACAAGTAACTGGCTAGATTTGACCACCCCTGACAATAGACAGGTGACATATAAACATTGCCACTCTCAGTTACAATTATGGAGGCCAGGGAAAGACAGCACAGAAAGCATGGGGCAGTATGGTAGAGCTGTATCCACCACATTTTAAAATTTTCTGTAAGATGTTTTAACATCTAAGAATCTGGCTGGCTGGTCAGAAACAAACCCTCCCCAGGCTGGACAGGCCTGCAGGGAGTGAAGGGGACGCCTTTCATTAGCCACCGGACTAATCTCTAGTGTGTCCCACTGGCTCTCCCCATCATCTAACTCCCAGATAGCATTTCTCCTCTCTTCATCATTCCAGGGCACCTAAGGACCACCCCAGGCCCCAGGAATTAGGGATTAATGTTTTCCTTGCTATGTCTTTCCTAAAGAAGCCTCCCTACAGGGCAGGGCCTCTGTTTCTCTTCCATTTCTGCCTCCTATACCTACTGACTCCCCCCCTCTGGTCCTCACTGGCATGTCCTGTCCTCTTCTCTCAAGAAATGTAAGATCTCTTTCAATGACTGGCTCTCTGAGTCATTACTCAGTCACTTCTACCCAAGTAAACCTTCAGGTACAAATGAGACAAGGAAGCCTGGAGCCTAAGCTGATCCAGGACCTCGGCATCACATGGGTCCACTGCAAGGGTATAAAAGCTTGGGATGCCCTGGTCGTTTAAAGCCTGGGCTCTGGATTAAGAGGCCTAGTTTAACCCTGTGCCTCTCATTAGCTCTATGGCCTTTGACAAATTATTATCAGAACATACCCATTTCCTGTTGTGTACCTAAGGGTAGAGTGACAAGGGCAGAATCTGTGATTAACACCTTAGAAAGTGTCTGGAAAATGCCTGCTAGGATTTCTTTTTAGAACACAAACGCCCTTCCATGTCTGCAGTCCTAAGACCACTCCTTCAGGAGTGCACACATTTTGAACCCGTCCAATGACCTACAGCTATAGGCCCATCCACCCACGATTCCATCCACAAAGCAAAGAAAGACACCACAACTCTTGGCTGCAGAGTGTAAAATGTATTGACGTTGTAAAGGGACAACTTGGAGACAGTTGAGGCCTGCTGAGACAATGCACGCTAAGGACATGCTGATTCTCAAAACAGCGTCAGAAAGGTTAATGAACATGTCTGGGGTTGGAACTTGGCCTTGTGCATTTTCATTAGCTGGGATCACTACTCTAAAGCTTCTCCTAGAGTATACACAATCGCTGCTGGCAGAGGAACTATGGACCTATTTAGATGTTAACCAGGGGAACGAGCTCACAGTTAGACCGATCAGAGTTAACAGCAACCTGGTTCTCATTGGTTTTGTTCACTGCTAGAGGGGAGGAGGTAACATTTCCAATTTATTCCTTGTTTACATGTTTAGTAGTCACCAACAGACTCCAGAAAATAACGAAAAGTAAGTTAGTAAAAAACAACTGTGATTATGTCATGGATTTTTCCAAGACCCTTAATGTCATCAGATCATTTACATTTACGGGGGGGGGGGGGCATGGCGGCGTTATGGAAAACTAAGTAACGATAAAAACAAAAACTACTGAAAAATACATCTACAGAACACAGTGGTCAGTTGTAAACAGCTCAGAAGGGTAAAGAAAACACCATCCTTCCAGCGGGACGGGCAGTCCAACAGGGCCGAACTCTGCTTTTTTGTTTCTTCCTAGTGGCTATTTTCCTACCACAGTGTTGCGCTTCATTATTATATTAAATAACTTATATGGGCAAGGAGGAGTGTGCTAACCAGCAGCCAACTCAAAACCTCGGAGGAAGAGGGAGGAGAGATGTTTACAACGCTGTACACGCTAAGGGGAAGAATGCCCGCAGCAGACCTCCACCCAGTCTTTGCCCTCATTGGAATACTGCTCAAGCAGAGGTCTGGGACCCAAACTGGGGGAGGGGCGCGGGCGCTGAGGGGAGGGGGTGTTTCCCCTCCCTCCTCTCCCTTTTTCATTTAAATTAACAACAACAACAACAAAAAACCCATGGGCTTTCATATAGCCAGCACTCAGCTGGGTAAGTTCCATTAGCAGCAAATGTTCAAGCAAATTAAAAAAAAACAAAAAACAAAAAACAAAACCACACACACACAAAAAAAGAAAACTCCATCCAGGTGCAGAGCTGTGATTCACGTGGAAATTCCAGAAGATGAATCATGTGCAGAGCCGGGAATTTTAGAGGCTTCTTTCTCAAGTGTCTTCAGTGAACATTTCAGTCTCAAAAATGCGAGTCCATCTGTCGGCTGTAGGAAATGAGTTTTCCATCTGCTCCGCAGTTGGGCTTGCTTGCAGGGTCTGCACGACTGTTCCTAGTACTAGATGCCAGAACACAAAGGCCAGGCCCTCCAGGGTCTGTTTGATGCAGCGGCGGCGGCAGCAGCAGCAGCAACAGCAGCAGCAGCAGCAGCAGCAGCAGCAGCAACAGTCTCCATTTGTTAAACTCTGCCCAACAGGCTGGATCTGTAAGGCAGAAGGCAGAGGACCACTTGTATCGATCGGCTCAGATTGCCTTGTTTAGTACTTGTCTCTCCTGTACTTTAAACGGATTTTTACATAGTGGAAACGATGGGGTGGAAATCAAGGACGGGGAGCCTTAGCTGTCCTGCAGGGAAACTGCTAAAGCCTTAAACAGCTGTGAATGGAGACAGCCAAAGCACTGCTTACAGTAAATCTCTATCTTCAGATTTTGTTTGATATTAAAACAAAAAGTGAACACCATTAATGACAACCAACTTTTATACATGTGTGACATGTGCATGATACCATACAGGTTTATGTCTTAGATATGGCTTCAGCTGCTGTGATAAAACACAATGAGCATAAGCAACTTGGGAGGAAAGGATTTGGCTGACACCTCCACATCACAGGCCATCATCAAAGGAAGTCGTGGCAAGCACCTGGAGGTCAGACTTTGATCCAGAGGCCACAGAGGAGTGCAGCTTACTGGCTTACTCTCATGGCTTGCCCAGCCTACTTTCTCACAGCACTCAGGAACACCAGTCCAGAACTGGCTCTGCCCACAATGGGCTGGGCCCTCTCTGTCAATCATCAATTAAGAAAACTCATCACAGGCCAATCAGGTGGGGGCATTTTCTCAATTAGGTTTCCTCTTCCAAAATGATTCTAGTTTGTGTCATTGACCTAAAACTTGCTAGCAGTTTACTTAGTGGGTAAAGGCAACTTCCACACTATGACCCCTGAAGGAAAACAGTGGGTGATAAGGAAGGTGTCTGTCCTCAAATGTGGACTCACATCTACACTGATGTGTCTGAATCTAGAAATACCACAAAAAGCGTCTATGGCCAAGCAGTTCACCGCTTCAAAGCTAACGCGTAGACAAGTTTTCGGGCAGGAACTGTCATTCTAGAGAGTTTACTGACATGGTTTTATAAGAACTCAGTTTCTTGTTTTTATCCTTTCTATGGCTGCTAGGCCTTGGCCAGCACCTGCACATCATTCAATCATAGCATAGGAACTGGGGCTGAGGAGCCACGGAGTACAAGTGTCCAGGGTAGGAGCAGCCATGGGGCGTGCCCTTGTGCTCACTCTCAGGGGGACTACATAGCAGCTGTGAAAGAGGTACACACACACACACACACACACACACACACACACACACACACACACACTATACTAAACAAGGTGTGACTGGCGACAAGAGAGCTAAGAGTATCCGAGGAGTATGCCTTCAGGAGCACTTTCTGCCTAGGGAGGAGGCAGGGGAGGAAGCCATGACTATAGTTCTGAGAAAGGCAGAGCACACGGCTTAGATATGAGGGGGAAACTGTTCCTTAAACTTCCCCAGAAGACAATTTTAACATAGAGACTAGTCTTTTGTACCTAAGAATACCTCCCACTGTGTGCACAAGATGTTTTCTCATCAAGCGACTGACTGCCATAGCAGCAGAACCTGTACTATTATCATTCTGGTGATGGGGATGTGCTTTCTATTTATAGCCCAGGCTGGCCTTGAACTCACTCTGTAGGTCAGGCTAGCCTCAAACTTGAGATTCTATTACCTTGGCCTCCAAGAGCTATGGATCCTAGGTGTGTGCCAACACACTTGGCTTCCAATGCTCAAACACATTCTGACAAGACAATCATTATCACTGATCATTTTTGAGTTTATACAACTGTAAACAGATTCCCAAGTTCATGTCTGAATTCAGCTAGCAGATGGCCTCTCTCACATCACATTTCTAGTTCCACCACTAAAATCTTTAGTTATGTCAAATCCTTTGGTTACCATATACCGTGTGTACAGGACACAGAGCCATGGGGAAAGAGTATGCAATTCATTCTTTCTTGTCAAGCCTTCGATTTGCAACCAAACTACTGATTGCAACAGAAGAGAATAACTATAAAAGAGGTATGAGTAGGCTTGGGTTGTTAATATTCCATGTGTAATTCAGATACTGAGTATCTTGCAGAATTGACCTGTCTACTTCTTTAAATTTAAAAACAAACAAAAAAAAGTTCTGAGCCTTGCCAAAAAAAAAAAAAAAAAAAGTTCTGAGCTTTGCAAAAAAAATAAATTTAAAAACAAACAAACAAAACAAAAACAAACACACAAAAAACCAGTTGCTACAGCAAGGTTTTAGACACTAGGAGTCTTACCAAAGGTCATGCTTGCTCAAGGAGGGGGGAAAAGGTGATTACAAAGAAGAAACATGGAAAGCAAGGTTCACCTTAAAATATAAATTAAAGGAGTAATTTCCAAGTTTTCCTTTATTTTTGTAAGGCATGGTCTCATCGTGTAGCCCATGCTGGCCTTGAACTCTCAGTTCCCCCTGCTTCAGCCTCCTGAGGGCTGAGAGTACAAGTCCAGGCTATTCTACCTATCCAATCCCACAGATCTGTATCCGCTTCAATGTGAGCTCTGAACCAGTTTCGATCATCCTGGATCATATTATGTCCTGGCTGCTTCTACCCATTAAAATATCTTCAATGCTTACAATATAAGCACTTATAAATTTGTTTGAATATAGAATAGTAAAAGGGTTTTTTGTTTTGTTTCTTTAAAAAATAACTCTACTGATTATATTTTAAATCCAGATTCTCTCTCTTAAATGGAGGGGGTGGTGGTGGTTGATACCTGTTAAGTGATACCCCCCATCTTGAAATGACCTTAATTTTAACCAGTATTTTTTTTGGTGCCCCACCTAAATAGTGTTTTAAGATTAGAACTATTCAACAATAAAGTCTGAACTTCTAAACAAAGAGAAATAGGTTTTTTTAATTTGTTTGTTTTACTATACCATGGAGTAATCTCAATTCCATATTCTATTCCCCAACAGGGGAAGAACTGCAGTCATGGTATTATCTGCCAGGGTAAAAAAATAAAAAGCAATATAACTGAATGATGGCCATGAGAACCCAAGCCACAGAGACTCTGAACTGAAGAGAAGGCTCTGCCAACTTGAACAGGTAGGCAGGGCCCTCCCACACAAGGCACACATATGGCTCTCTTGAGGTGAAACTGGCGTTTCCTTTAGACTTGTACTTCGAGAAGCACTGAGACTCACCTTAAAGACTTCCATCTGTCCTTCTCTATATTATTTTCAGGTCCTTCACTCTCATAAGAAGCCAAGTAGAGAGCTACAATCAACGAAAGGAAAGAATGCGTTATGATGGAAGCCTTCTCCTGATACCTTCACCCCCACCCCCATTGCTAGGAAGGCCTGCTTGACTTGAGCCCAACCTCCAGCACACCCTTCAGATACACTGGATTAGGAGTCACGAAAAACACAGAACCCCACTTTGCTTCTGATTGGCCACCTCAACAAAACCCAGGGCTCTAAGCTGAAAATGCACTTAATTAACCAAGAATTTATGAGGCAAAAAGCTTTGAAAATGCAGACCATACAATGCTGTCGAACACTTGGGTTTATAGTCTTTGCAAAGGAAAGGGTCATGGCTCTTTCCTGGCACCCCCAGAACTTTAATAAAAATCATGTGTAGGGTGTTTAAATCGGAAAGAAAATCATCTCAAAATTATAAAAAGCTTTTGTTAATCTTATTTACAGAGATGAAAACAATCAAGTCTCCTCACACCCTGAAACAGGCTATATGAATTCAAAATGGCAGTCGGGCAGACACTATCAACACACCATGAGGATATAATAATTCATAGAGTAAGTTCCCAGGTCTTCTACAGACTCTACTGGTGAATCTTCCTATGCAGAATCAAACATGTTTCCTGTCTCTATTGCCCAAGGCTTTAACAGGTCAAGACTTTCCACAACTTCCTAAATATTCTTCAATAGCTTTCCTTTCACACTCATCACTTTGCAGAACAGGCATTAGGAAGGATGTTTAAATGTCCTATGTTTAGCTGATTAAAACATTTTAGCGGTCAATCATGACACTTTCCACGAAACAGAAAGAAAAAGGTGGATCAGCTCAGAAGCCTGGCTTCATACATGAGAGGCAACCAAGTCCAAGCATTTAGACACAGGATTTGGGGGTATTCAGGGCAGGTACGAGCTAAAGGCCTCACCGTCTTCACTGAACACGGGCACTGAGAGCAGGTACTGTAAGACCTTCCGGTCCCGCTCGAATGGACACTCCACCTGTTTCCACGTCATAAACTCACTCACTTGTTTGGCCAGTTCCCAAAATTTCTGAAAGAGAATTGAAGAATTTTTAAGGGCAAGTGTCAAGAATTATGGGGTGGCAAGACACAATGCCATTTGAAACGCACCCAGTTTGGGAACTTCGGAATCATCTTCTCTTCTTCCCTTACTAAGCATTGCATTTGCCAGCTAGGGAAGGTGAGATTTAGTCGCATTCCCTCAAGCGACAGTGCTGATGGGGTGGCATGGCTACTACATTACTTGGTGGTGTTCATATCTTACAGGCAGTAGGGAAATACAAGTCTGTTGCCAACTGCGAATCGAATCTGCCTTGCTGCTGGCTGGGGCACTGAGAAATCTGCTCCCACTCCTATGCTCTGGCTTTATTTTAACTTTTTAGTTTTTTTGAGACAGGCTCTTACTGTGTAACACTGGCTACCCTGAAAATCACTATGAAGACCAGACTGGCCTCACACTTGTGGTAATCCTTCTGCCTCTGTCTCACAAATGCTGAGATTATAGGCGTGGGCCACCATGCCCAATTCCTACTCTAGATATCCGAACCCTACTTCATTACACTCACCTCGAAGTTAACGTGGCCATTTGGAAGACGGTTGGCACAGCCCTCGTTGAGGAAATAAATATCTTTGATTAAGAGACTGAAGAATGGTATCACAATCTAGAAAGAAAAAGATTCAGGGTTGTCTGGGTAAACAAAGCACTTAACCTCTTGTCACAGATATAAGTGATTAACGAACAATGTTAACTTGGATTACGCGGAAGGCCACAATGAATGCGGGTACACTGTTCTATACACTCTGTACTACAACACTTGCTACCTTACACAGCTTAGCCCAAGATGCCAATGTCCTCAGTACCCAAGCACAGTAGGAACTAGCACTGTTGGCAAGTGGATGGGTGGATGGATACTTTCAGTACAGTTTTTCCTATTCTCTTCAACGTTTAACTTGATAAAATTTAAAGCTTCTTGCCAAAACTAAAGTATATATATATATATATATATATATATATATATATATATATATGAACTCTATTTATTTAGCGACCCCTAACCACAGCAAAGTCTTAAAGGCACATGACCCATCTCTCCTTGCTGTGCTCTATATCACTCCGTCATCAGTTAGACATCTACATTTTAGTTGAAGTTTCTTGTTCTTTCTGTTTTGTTGTTTTATATTTTATCCTTGAAGCCATTGCTCAAGATAACGTGACGGCTGAAGGTTTTAGGCAACGGTTGCTACCGTTTCCTGCGGAAGAAACCTGGCTGTGTGAGAAACCAGTCAGTATCTGCTGTCTGGGAAAAGTCCCCTGGAAGGACCTGGCACCATCTGTTGTAAGACAGATGGCCACAAGTGAGAGAAGGACAGAAGTATGTGAATGAAAGTTAAAGACTGCTCAAACAGTACGCTTCTCTAATGAAGCCTTCTTGGCCTTGATGCCTTCGCTTGAGGAGGTGGTACTTAGCTGGTACCTAGAGTAGCAGTCTTTAAAAGTATCCTGAGTCTGACCACGCCCATCCCAAACAGAGATCAAAATTCAGATACAGTCATTTTAATTTTTTTCCCCTCAAATACAACGTATTTGAATCAAAAGGTTCTGCAATGTAAATAATGCATCAAACAGATTATCTGGGAAATTCTGAAAGCCCCAAGATCAGGTCTTTGAAGTCTCTTAAGCTCATGACTCATAAATGTGAAAACAAACTTTTTGGCTCACGCACAAACAGTAAGCATCAATTCACTTCTAGAGAGAAATTCTGATTTTTTCCCCCTGAAGTCATTTTCAAAAAGCCAAAACACCTTACAAATTTTCATTTCATTGATCTCTGAGAATCATCAAATTTACCGTCAGCTTCACTCGTACCCCGACTGTCTTCTCTTTGCTCTTGTGTGTGAAGCCCTAAAGCAGAATTAGTGGAGCGTGTGTACCTCCTGCCCCCTCTGATGTTATGGGCTAGCACTGAACAGTGTTAGAACTAAGATCAAGACAGATTTGAATGCCACCTCTCCTAGGGCTGGGAAGCGCTGGGCTGTGGACTCCCTCAGACATCAGTTTAAAAACTGACTCTACAACTGGCCAGGAATAAAAACTAGGGGTTGGGAAAATGTAAGGTTTTTGTTTGTGGGTTTTGTTTTGTTTTAAATGTACGTGTTGTTATTTTTGGTACGGCCTAGAAGACATATACTTTACATTTTTAAGGGGCCAGGAGGGGGCATCAAAATAATAATAACTTCAGGGTGCATGAAAAAATCATGTGAAGCTTAAATGACAGTGACCGCAGCGTTTCACCAGAGCACGGCCATGCTCATTCATCTAGACACTGGCTGGGTCTGCTTTCTGCTCCTATCCGAGTTGAGTGTGCACTCAGAAGGCAATAAACACACGTCATCCTGTGACAGCCCCGGGGAAATGGAGACACAGGGAAAATCAAGAGGTAGTAGTTTACAGTGCACCAGCTTTTAAGCAAGAAGTGTCCGTGCTGTTCCAGTCGTTGGGGCTGGGCTCTGAGCCTCCTTTTCTGGCTCGTGTTGGTATCTAGACTAACTGCTTAGTTCCTGTCACTGCCTATAAACTGCAGGAGGCAGAATGGTTCCTTCTGTGGATTTTGCACTCAGCGTCCCTGCAAGGTTCTCTGCTACTAACCGAGTTATTCTCCCAGGAACACGGCCATACTGCCAGCCTCACTTGGGGCACGTGACTGCTCTGTTTCTCATGGCCGTGACAAGAAGGGAACCTCAGACTTCATCTCCTCACTCACTCTTGGGAGTCCCCATCAGCTCTGTCCAACAAATTGGACAGTGGAGAGGAGCAGAAAATAGCAACTCCAGATTGCTGTGAGATAAATAAAGAGAGTAAGTCTTGCTTTTATTTTATTATAAGTAGGTCTTGCCAATATCATTAGTGGGAGAACTTCTCAAGAAGTCATATATAAACTATTATATATATGGCGGGGTCACATATTCCTGGCCGGCCCTCAAATTTACCATGTAGCCAAGGATAACCTGGAACTTCTCTAATTCTCCTGAGTGCTGGGGTATCAGGCATGCACACCCCATGTGGTTTTATGTAGTGCTAGGGACTGAACTCCATGGTTTTGTGCATCTTAAGCAAGGCCTCTACCAACTGAGTTACATCGTAAATTTCCCCTTTAAATATATTCTGAATTCTAGGGCTGGAGAGATGGCTCATCAGTTAAGAGTACTGGCTGCTCTTCTAGAGTTCAATTCCCTCTTCCTGAGTTCAATTCCCAGCAACCACATGATGGCTCACAACCATCTATAATGAGATCTGATGCCCTCTTCTGACATATAGGCATGCATAAAGACAGAGCATTTATGTACATATATACAGAATACATAGAGCTTAAGTATATATATATAATTACATACACACACACACACATATTGTGAATTCATTTGGGTCTGGTAATCTCAGCTACTAGGGAGGCGAAGGCTGGAGGATTACAAGATGAAGGCCTGCCTGGGCTACAAGGTGAAATTCTTTCTCAAAAACAAAACAATAAAATGACAGCCAGGGATATATTATAGTCGAATGGTAGAGTCCTTGCCTGGTAGGCATAAATATCCGGGTTCATCCCCTAGTAATGAAAAGTAAGATGCTCCTCATGATTCGGAGTCAGACTTTATACTTTAAGGTATTATCAGTTCCATGTCTAGAAACAGATGCTCATGAGGAGGAGCAAGTTTACAGAAACAAATAGAAGGTCAAAGGGATTGAAAACCATGTAAAGCACGAGGCATGTTAAAAACTGAGAGACACACGCACTGGCAGGGAGGGAAACTATTAGGAGAGCACTTAAGAACTCCTGTGTGGAGGAAAGATTTGATTTGCTTCATAACAGGTACCTGGAAATGTGCCACTCTCTGACACACAAACTTGAGATTGGAAAAAGATCAAAGACCATTCATTACTCAAGATGTGCTGCCAAGGAGACTGTAAAAATGCAATGAAGAAAGTCCTCCCTTGACTCAAAATAAGGAAAATAGTCTCATTTCTTAATAAAGGATAGATCTGACCAGACATGTTTTTATTTCTTATCTTCCAGGTCCAATTATGAGGAAACAAAACAGTGTACTTCTTCAAATGGTTGTAATCATTCTTTTATCAGCTACAGGGTACAATCCATAAATTTATGTAGAAATGGCTTTTAAAAGTAAAGCAGGCCGGGCAGCAGTGGTGCACGCCTTTTATCCCAGCACTCGGGAGGCAGAGGCAGGCAGATCTCTGTGAGTTCAAGGCCAGCCTGGGCTATAGAGCAAGATCCAGGACAGGCACCAAAGCTACACAGAGAAACCCTGTCTCAAAAAACCAAAAAAAAAAAAAAAAAAAAAAGTAAAACAGAAAGAATTTACTCAGGGATATAAAGTGTAAGTTTGTTTTCTTTTCTGGGAACAGCTGTTAAACTTGCACAAATGACATCTTTGGTGGCTGATGACAGAGTAGCAGCCCTCTAACAGACAGGACTCCACAGCACGCCCCGCCCCCCCACCTCCACTGAGGGCCATGTGGTGATCCTGGTGTCCACCACAGGGAGATGTGACATGGTCTCATATCCTCCCTGAATCCTTCACTTCTGAACATTGGGGCCCTCCCACACATGTGCTCATCCTCGGAAACTCAACCCACTTCAGATTCGCTCTTTTCAGCAAAATATAAAATCTAATAAACTCTCAGGCAACTGGAAGCTTCCTCATTTAAAAGTCAAAATTAATACATTTACAGTGTTTCTCAGACATCATCAGAGCTGGCATTTCAGTTGTGGTGGAGGAAGTGTCACGTGTTTAAAAGGAGTTTGAAGCCTGATGATTCTGTGGGGATGTGACTTAGAAGCCAGGGAATATTTTAATCCTGTTTTCCCAATCTGGTTGAAAATACTACTTAACATGGGGACAGAATTCAAACAGACGTAGCCGCCACTAAGAAATCAGCATCAGCTGTTTATCATAACTGGACATTTAACTTCTCAAACAGCATGACAGACAATCTGTCCTTCCTCTATGAGAAACCGAAACAGAAATGGGCCAGTGGGACCCTCAGAATCCAGAACTCCATAGATCCAGGGTGATGCTAATGAGTAGGGGACTGAGGACAGGATCATTCATTTCTCAGAAATTGCTCCTGTATTTTTCATGCCACCTACATATCCAATTAGTAACAGCGGGCCCTAATGCTACAGCAACTAACCTACTTTCTGAGAATAAATGACTTAACTGTGGGAGGTAAGCTAATTCTTTTCAAAGAAAAGGTTACATTAAGTGAGCCACTTTATGCAGAACTTAAATGTCTTTTCCCCATTAAGCCAAATTACTCTCTTAATGCTATTAGTTACCTTACCATATGACTTAATACTGCCTGAAATACAACTAAGACATACTATAGAACGCATCAAACATATAACACAAGTAATATAGTAAGATACATTTGTGAATTGAATTTCAAGTCACTTCTCTTTGTCCAGAGCCAACTCTGCTCTGTGTTCCCCTTCCTCATGTGCCCAAGGATAAGGTGTGTGTAACTGCACTTCTCTCAGATCTGAGCTGGTAAAAACAGCCTCAGGAAGTAGTTTACACCATGTCAGTGTAAAACATGGCAAGTCTATAACAAGTAACACACACTTTTCACGGCATACCTTTTCTCTGCTACTGTGAGCAGTTAGGGACCTTTGCGCTGCGCCTCGGAGAGCTGTTCTGTAGTTATAGAAATTGCTTGAAGGGTCCATCTGATGCTGTAGAAAGACAATATTATATTATATTATTATTAACCACTCATTTCTCTACTATAGATGTTTACAAGTTCATGCCTTTAACTATAAATTCAAAGTCAAAGTAAGCTGGGAAATTCATTAGAAGTATGATTTCTTTCTTTCTCTCTCTCATACACACACACATATAAGCGCACACACACACATATAAGCGCACACACACACACACACACACACACACACACACACACACACACATACACACACACACACACACACACACACACACACACACACACACTCAGAGTTATATGGGAAGGGCTGTTCGGGCTAACCAATTTTCTCAGAGTGGTGAATGAATATTCTAAGGCAAGGAGGATACTGTACAGAAGTACATAAGGCAAACTGGGACATAGACCTCTCTACTGATCAGGGCTCCAGGTCTGTTCTGGCATACAAAATTATGTGACTGTGAAGTCAGCATCTTCCATCAAAACGTCCACCTCTGTTTATAAAAGGACCAACCTGAACCCCAGCTCATGTTGCCCTACTCCAGTCAGAATCCCTCTCCTACCTCTGGGTCTGAAAGCCTTTTCCTTTTACGGTACTATCTGATCAAGAAGCAGCATCACACAGCAGAACTCCATCCAGGCAGGTACCTTGCTATTCTGCCCAGGCTGCCCTGAAACTCATAATCCTCCTGTCTCAGCCTCCTGAGTGCTGAGATCACAGGCATGCTCTCTCCAGTCAACTCTAAAACATCACTTTCACATACCTCAAGAATGTCAAACTTTGCCGTCTTCACTTTGGCCCAAGTTTTTTTTAGTCTCGAGACCGGGCTCATGTTCATACCAGCTTCCCATTTAAAATGCACATGGAAGAAGAAAATCAAAACAGAGCTGTAAGAAGTCATTCTAGCTCGGACTCCTAAGAAGTGCATGTTACCAAGCATCAATAACTGAGTTCTGCAACTAGCAGTAACAACCTCAAGTTTTACAGCATTTCCCTGCAAACTTCCTCAGTTCAGAAGCAACATAGCTGGGAACAGGGCTGAGCACACTTCTTGGGAAAAACACTGAGCATTTTAGGGTATGCATGCCATATGTGGGGCCACGACACTGCCATGCTGTATCACATGAGCACCCACGGTAACCACGTAAACAAATGGCCATGGCTACAATCCATCAACACTTTACTTAAAGGTGCTGGAGTTTATGCTTCGTTTGGTTTTAGTTGGCTGAAGCAGGGCCTCATGTGGCTCAGAATGGCTGGACTTGGCTTTGGAGTCAAGACTTGAATTCCAGACCCTCCTCCTTCATCTCCTACGTGTTAGGATGAAAGGCAGAAGACTCTATATCTGACTAGATGCTGAAGTTTGGATTTATTACATTCATATGATATAATGTAATTATATATTATGATATTCACATTAGAAATTCTTTTTTTTTCATTTTTCTCAATCACTTCAAAATATTAGATCTCTAGTTAGCTCATTGGTCATTAAATAAACAAAACAAGACAGTGGGTGACTGGGCCAGAGGTTGTAATTTGATGACCTGTTTCCTGTTACCTAACAAGCCATCCATGTTTTGCATATATCTTCTCACATGCCCACTAGACATTGCTACAAGAATAAGCTAAGTTCCAGGGTTATGGAATTTTTCCAAGGCCATCTGCCTGCCCCAGTAGCAGATACCATACTGATGCGACTCCATAGGCCATACACATCCCACCATGCCACACTGCCTCCCCCAGTGAGAACCTACAAATTACAGCATTTTCCACTGCAGTGGAAAAGGGGTCCACATGGACCCAAACGAGTACACATATTCATCTCGTGACACCAATATTTCCATGTTTAATACCTAGAAGAGATTTCTAGTTGAGGAAAAACACAGACACATACACAGCTCTTAAATGTACAATCAGATGAATTTGATAGGCATGCAAGGTCATATATCTCCACTCCAATCGAGGTATGACAGGACATTCTATCATCCATAAAGCCTGCTTGGATCCACTTCTGGTCAATTTTCCCCCACCCCACCCTCCAGAGAATTCACAGCAGTGGTCAAGGATCATCTGTTGTCAGACACTCATTGGCTTTGTCTGTTCTAGAACTAACTTTACATGAGTGGACTCATATTGCACATACTCTTTTCCTGCTTGGCCTGGTAAAGGTTCAGCACAATGATTGTGAAATTTATCCAGGTTCTGTTTCAATGATTCATCTTTGTTGCTCAAGAGCATTTATTGTCTGAGTATACCACAGTTTCTTCAGTCATTTACTTGCAGATGGGCATTTTGGGCTCTTTCCAAGCTAGGGCTATTAGGAATAAAGTTTCATTTATAATTCGAGCACAAATCTTTCTGGAGCTGTACTCACTTTTTTGTTTGTTTGTTTGTTGTTTGTTTGTTTTGCTTTCCCAGACTGGGATTAAAGGGATTAAAGGCATGCGCCACCACTGCCAGGCTTGCTCATTAGCTTTTAAAGATGGATATTTAACTGAAGATCAATGAACTAAAGGTAGTCAATGAATTCAAGCTTACTAAGGAAAGAGGATACATACTGGCACCAATTTGGCTCCACCAAGCATTCCGAATGCTCTGAATTAACTCCAGATTAAAAAGAATACAGTTTTTATGAAAGAAAGATTTTTGTTTGTTTGTTTGTTTTTTGAGACAGGGTTTCTCTGGAAAGAAATAATTTTCAGTGGATACATATTGCAAGCCCCATAAAACTAGTGTTCTCATAGAAATACTCACAGATTATTGCCATCAAGGAGTTGAAGTTTCCAATGTTGAAACACTCTCGAGCCACATCGATGAAATATTCAATCATTCTCGCTCTGTGCTTCTTCTTCACGGGCTGTAAAGAAAATAAAAATGAGCAGGCAGGAACCCAGCACACGGGCCCAACAGAGAGAGAGTTACAGGGAAAACAGATTTGAGAGAAAATGAATTGTCTCACCATGCAGATTTCTGTTGCAACCAGGTAGCTTAGGCGATTAAACCACTCTACGTAGGCTTCTAAATTTCTCGTTTTCTTCCGTTCACTGTAGCAAGTCTATGGAGAGAGCAACATGGACAGATGAGGTCTGTGAAGACACGCGGATGCACTCACGAAAGTATCCGTCCCTCTCTCCCAAGAAACTGCGTTACTCTGGGTGGCCAAGTGCCCTCAGACCCTCAATTCCAAAGAAGGATTTGTTGGTTAGTTTTAACCGTCAACTTGCCACAAGCTAGAATCACGTGGGAAGGAAGTCTTAGTGGGGAATTTGGTTGGCCTGTGAGCAAGTTTGTGGAAGACTGTCTTGACTGTTAATGGATGGAGGAAAGCCCAGCCCACTGAGGGCTGCACTGTTTTCTCTAGGCAGGGGGTGCAAACAGTATAAGGGGTGGAAGCTGACTGGTAGCAGAGCAAAGCAAGAGAGTAAGTAAACAGCCCTGGCTGCACCTAACTTCTCTCTACTCCATTTTTTTTTTCCTTTAAAGGTAAAAAACATTTATTTTTGAGGAACTTGTTGCTGTTCATTTTTCAGAGAAAGCAACATAAGAAAACAAAAATGTTACCCTCCTTTCATCCTAGGAATAAATAAGGGCATAAAATCTCCCCTTAAATCGTGGCATGTTTCTCTCTACTCTTGACTGTGAGGTGTGACCAGCTGCTTGGATTCCAACCTTGACTTCTCCTCAATGGTGTTCTGGAATCTGGAACTGTGAGCCAAGTAAGCCCTTTCTCCCTAGGTCACTTATTGTCTGGATATTATATCACAGCAACAGAGATGTATCTAGAACAGGGCTGTACACTCAAACAGGATGCAAACGCCAATTGCTGTCAACACAGCAGGGAGAGGCTGAGTGCAGGGGCGAGGAACCCCTCTCTAACATTCAGATGGGAACAAAACGGTGGGAGCACCATTTACCCAAAGATAAATGGAAATCTACACCATCACTCCCTTGAGCAGGGTGAAGGGCACACCGTTCAAAAGCAGAAGTTAATCTTATCTTGGAGTTCAAGGCCAAGCTTGAAGAGGTTCATCTCTTTCCTTCCTTTCAGAAGACACAAACAAGAAAGTCCACTAGTCTCCTTTTAAAAACATAGTCTTCACTTCCTATGCTGAGAAAAACCAGTCTAAGGCCGGATACAGCTGTAGCCTTGTCTCCCAGAGAGACTTCATCAGTAGACAAGTGGCCACAGACAGTCTAACAATTCAAAATGCTGCTATAGTTCACTCTAGAAGGAAAAAAATTGTGCATGTGTTTATGGAATGTACAGTGTAGGTCCAGTGCCATGTTCTTTATGTGTGTGCTTTGCCATGGAGCTGTCATGAGGGATTCACTTGCGGCAAGGGACCAGGCCAATTAGAGTTTTGCTGGGCAAGCTGGATGTACATCCTGTCTCCCCTGCCCCTGCCGCTGCTGCTGCTGAATCACAGGCAGACCATTCTCTTTGACTTTCTTTCTGGCTTAATCTGCTAAAACCATTATGCTTTTATCGTCTACCTTCATCACCACAAACACTTGTATCTCCCCAGGAAGGGCTTATTAAATTCTCCCGTAAGGAGGAAGTGATGGGGTAAGACTATTGTACAGGCACTTAGAGACCCAGCCCAAGAAAACTACAGTGACTCACACACAGCTAATGAAAAACACCAAAACAAACAACTTGATACTGATTACCTTATCATTGTCCAAAGGGTCCTTCTGCACGAACGCCTGAACAAATTCTTCTGGACCAATGTAATTGAGTCTCTCCTGAAATAAAAGCCAATAATATTAAAGAAAATGAGGAGAAACAGATGGTCACTTCCCCCTATTAATGTTGGCGGCACCCCCAAATTTCTTAAAGCAGATTATAAAATAAGCTTTTAGCCCCAAATACTTTCTTCATCTTCAATATGTAAAAGGAGGCAATGCTTCATAAGACAGTTGAAGAATGAACAGTTACAGGAAAATAATTAGAGGCGGAAGATAAAGAAGGTCATAAACTCTGCTTTTCCCCATCTTGTTTAATATGTGTTTACGAGTAAATTCCCAGGATATCAAAAACATCCATATTCAAATGCCCAAACAAAACACGATTCAGCTGTTTTGTGGATTGTTTCCCTTTTGAGTTATTCTGACCTCTATCAGCAAACAGTCTCGTTGCCAAAGCAAACTAATCTGTGGCCTTGAAGGGCAAAGACGATAGGGCCTTCCTTACCAGCTCAATGTGAGTCAGCTGCTGGGCCAACGTGTAAGGATCGCTGCAGACGGTCATGATATCCCGCTGTATGGACTGTGGCTTGGTCTTCAGAACTGTGAGCCGGTCTGTGGCTGTGGAGCTGAGTTTAGCCAGGACTTCCTCATACTGGCTGAGGGCAGCGAGTTTTCGGATGAGACACTGCATCATCTGTTGGACATTCTTCCGGTATGTCTGCTAGGAAGAAAGCGAAGGATGACATTCTTGTGCTGCACATTCTTTCCCGGCATTCTGCAACCTCAGACGCCCTGTCTTCAAATGCTTGGAGCTCTACTGGCTTAAAGGAGACCCAGACATGGCAAGGGTTTAAAAACCTAGGTCGATTGGATTATTCTCTTAGGACGCTTTTTAAAATATAATTCCGGCTGGGCCTTGAAAACACCTCAGAAACATCAGCTTAGCTATGGAGGTGATCCAGTGTAATGGATATGACACACAATGAGGTGTTCTCTAGTGAGACTGGACCTGTTTCCTTCTGCTAGGCTAAACCACATGGATCTCAAAGCAGGTCATCCTCTTCCCAAGTTTTTAAAGCCACCGGCATGGCCTCTCCATGCCTACTATTTCCAGCCTCACTCTAAGCACGTGGAAACCACGGGACAAGAACGCATCATGACTTCCCACTTCCCCGCCCCTGCACCTTCCTGATTTGCACATCCTACAGAGGAGCTGGGGTATTCATGTTTTTGTTATCTGACCTATTCTTGACTCATGTCCATTTTTTCCCCATTCATGATACCGATGTGCACAGCCACTCTGTCACGTGGCAGCTGCCACCACAATGCTGCTGTCAGATGCCACCTTGTTCATGATCTCATCAGGCTGTACTTGTGCTAGACTCGTCAGACTGATTTCAGAGTATTTCCTGTATCATACCATCAAGGAAGGATCAACTCCTTGCCTTTTAAAACACTTGTTAAGGCAAGAAATGACTTCCCAGTCCATCCATCCATCATCCATCCATCCATCCATCCATCCATCCATCCCTACCCCCTCCCTCTATCCCTCCTTTGGGTATATTTATTTGATATGGCATTACTCTTACCTCCCTTTTCTAACCCCAAACCATTAACAGCAACTATCCTTCTAGGTAAGTTATGATGCTCATGTTAGCAAGAGGAATGCGGGCTGACTCAATGCCAGCTGGGCACTTAAGCTAAAAGTCCCAGAGTGTCTATCGATGCAGGCAGGCCTGTGCTTATGCCTCGGTGGCTTTTTAAAAGGTGCCAGATACACCATCTGCCAAGATTAGCAATTTGAAAATTGTAAATCTAAAAAGTATAAAAATTATCTTTTTTCTAATTTGGCTTGGAGTATGTTTAAACACACACACACACACACACACACACACACACACACACACACACACAGTAAGTGGAGTGCGAGGACTGGGAATTTAAAGTCATCCTCAGCTCTGTAGTGTGTTTGGGACTAGCCTGAGATACATAAGAACCAGTCCCCCACCCCACCCCCAAAAAACCACTCACCTTTAAACAACCTATCTCCCATCTAGGCCTAAAGTTGGAAATTGGGATCACTCAAAGACAATGTGTCTTTCTTTGGTACCCAAACCAGTCAAGGCTAAGTAGCGTGCTACTTCAACCCCACCCCAACCTCACCATCTTTAGGAAGACTGAGATCCACTAAAACTAACTTGTGTTTACTTCAGTTTTCTGTACCAAGTGTCCTTACAACTGCCTGCATCAGTGTTCCTACTACTTCTTAAAATTATACAGATAGTTCCCAATATATTACTCTTCTTGACACACTTCAGCTACATCATGTACCATCCGGAGTAGAAAACACATGTTATAAGGGTGCATTTTTACAGTCACTAAAAGCAGTTTACAAGAGTATCCCACAACTGTCATTACTAAAATATGAAGCACAGTATGGTGTGGGTAAGGGACATATTGGTCAAATTTTTATAAGAATCCAAACATTGCTAAATAAACACTTAATCTTCTAAACCCACTGTTCCTATGGGTGTGTGTACCCGTACATAAATACATGCACACCAGAGGCATTCTGGGAAGATACACACAAAACACTTGACAACACTTGACGATATTCAGAGAAATAGGATTGGTATTTTTACTTTGTGTGAATACTCAGAACAGATTCCTACATTACTTGATTTGTTGCAGATAAAGTGACAGCCCACCCAGGGTCATTTCTTGGACACCACATGTATGAGACATGTATAAGAAAGTTGTTTTTCACTTGAAAAAGCAAAAACTCATCTTTGAAATGTCCATTACTTTACATCCCTCCTGAGTTATTTCTATACCTCACACTTCACCTCTTTCCTCCTCAGAGTCCCTGAGGTCCCAGGTCAAGAGACTTTTGGTAGCAATGGCCACTTTTCTTCAGGTTACCACCTGAAGGTCCCAGTGGAGAAACAGTGGGCACAAGAATGGCTGAGTAGGGATAGCCTGCAGCCTGGGTCCCACAGCAAGGATTCTGACTGAGCAGGGGTGAGTCTGACTGAGCAGGGGTGAAGCACAGTCTGGGCAGCATGCTGTAAATGCACCTCACATGATTCCGACAGGCAGCAACGGGTAGGAACCAGAGCTCGCCTAGAAGTCCGGGCGGAAGATTTGTATTCTCCACTAAACAACATTATTTTCAGGAAGGGGTGGAGGAACTGTAGGTCACTAGTGAGCAAAAGCAATAGCAAGACACAATGCAAGAAAGTAGACAACAGGACATACTGAAATTGGTGTGTGGAGAGAGACGGATGGAGGGAAGGGGTCCTGGGACCCTTTTCAAAGTCTCCCGCTTTCATCTGACTCCATTTGAGAACTCAGGTTCTGTGTAGTTAAGCATGCTTCCTCACTGAGTCATGAATTGCTAAATATGTACTTATTCTTTTTTATAACTCTAGTTGCCAGAGACAGTCATTACCTGGCAAATAAAGACAGAAGTTCTTATTATAGAGACCAGCCCCTTAAGGAAGAGAAAATTGCATTCTACCCACTCCAGTCATTTGTCATGTAATTCAATCATTAGTTTCATTTCATGTCTCTTCCAGGCGAGGCCTAATAAACCACTTCATTTGGGGCAAATCCCCAGGGGAGAAGCATATTAAGCCAAATTATGTGGAACTGTCCTAGCAGATTCTAAAGAGCCTGACTAAATTATATACAGGGCACACCTGGATTCACCGAGTGCCAAAAACTTCCCTGAAGTCAGAGGCAAGAAGCAACAGGCCCCAGTTCAAACCCAGGCTTCTTCCACTGGGAGGAATAATGTTTCTCCATTCTCGTAATTGACTCCTTTGTCCATTCGTTCGTTTCTTCTTTCACTCACTCATCTGTTCAAATATTCTGAGAACCAACTACAAGCTAGACGTTCAGAGAGGAGTTAAAGGTGCCGTGGTGAACCAAGTAGGCATAACCTAAAGTCCAATGGGACGACGAACAAGTACAAACTCCAGAGTCCTACAAAACAAAAGGCCTAAGAGCCAAGAATGGAGGGGCGGGGCTGTGACTGGAGTTGTGGAAGGTCTCTCTGAGTAGAGAGACATAAACATGGGATCGGAAGGAGGCTGCCAAGACAATAAATGCATCACCGGCCTCTAGCACATTATCACAAGGCAGTTAGTGCCATGATTTATGGACATGGGAAGGGAGCTAGGAATTTAGTGGATTAGCCAGAGCACACTCAACTCAAGCAACTGTTATGTGTGGACCCAATTCCTAAATTCTGGATAAAAGCAGCCAAGAAAAGGCAGCTTCCTGTGAAGCCCTGGCCAGTCAAGGCAGGCACAGCCTCCACTTAGCCGAGTTCAGCATAGTCCTAGGTAAATCTTGTTTCCCTAGTAATACTTTCTCCTGCCATACCATCCTCAAGGCCAGCTGATCTTTCCATGGTGCGGAAAGAATAGGCTATTAACACAAGAGTGCCAACAAGAAGTCAGTCAGAAGGCTGTCCGACCCTTTCCTCCGGTCACCCAACTCCTGAAGGCTTGACCTTGTTTCTGCAGACCAGATCTCAACTCTCAAACAAACAGAAGGACCACCATCTTTGATTTCCATGATAAGAAAGACCAAAAGCCATCAATATGGTATTTCCAAATCACAGCATTTTATCTTAAAAACAAAACAAGACAAAAACAATCAAGTGTACCTTTCAGAAAGAAACAAGTTATGATTTCTAATTTCTATGTCTAAAAGCAACAGCGAGCAATTAGCTGGCAGTATCAGTAGCTCTGTATATTTGAACTGAAAAGAAAAATGGACTGTGACTCAGGTCCTCACCTTCATACAAGAAACAGCCCTAGAATGGCACTCATCTCTTGACCAGTTTATGTCAAACCAAAGCCACTGAGCCAACACTGACCCTGCAAGAGGCCAGTAGCAGTCACCCATAATAGAATGCTTACAGCAAGACTGCACTATTGGCCTTTCACCTCTGTGGGTGTTCACCCACAGCAGGAAGAACCTAAGACAGGCAAACTGACAAGAAGACTGTCCAGTCATAACCAGTAGGGAGTCCCACATGATATCATAAAGCAACACTGAAAGGATTAACTCCTGAGTTGAATACCACGCAAGACAGCTAAGTGCAGAGATCTTAAGAGCTGGGTTTTCCCAATTTCACTGATCTCAGGTTAGGAAAACGGCAGTATGAGCATCCACATGAATCAGGACAGGTGTCTTGAGCTGTTGTCTCTGCAGCACAGAGCTGAGAGAACCACTTCTCCAGGGGGCTGCCATGGAGGGGGCAGTGTGTCAGTGCAAAGGACATCCCTGCACTCCCAAGTACTTTGGCTGCCTTCCTCTAGGTGACAGTTCCCAGACACTTATCTGCCACACGGAAACTACAAACATATCCAGCGAGCCTCAACACACGAAGTTAGCCCTCAAGGCCTACTATCAAAGGCTCAGTTGACGGAAGTGGATGACCTAAGAGACTTATTTTGAATCTCCACTTATTCGAGGTCCTAGCCTTGAATCAACTTCCGGCACCAGAATACTTGGATTGTTTCCTGCATGCCACCCCCAACCCCAGACATTCCCGCCCTAAGAATTACCTTTGTTAATTACACAACACTTCATGCTCTCCCTTTTATCAAGGCGTGTTCACTGCAAACACTATAAAAGAGCAAGTTAAGCCTCCTCCAAGAAACCCCTCCTAAGAAGGGTTTCGTCATCACATGCCTTATGTATGCCAGGCAAATGTTCTACCAGGCCAAAATTTCTAAGTTTTCCATCGAATGCCTGGAATCATTAGTATGCTTTTTCTTCCCCTGAAAATGATATAACCAACTATATTACCCTTTTATCTGGAACAGACCAACCACAGCAGTTCTTTCCAGCTGCACTCACTCTCAACACTGGCCTATGTGCTTTTCCCCTGCATGGTCTGGACTGTCTATTTCTACTTAAGAGTTATTAACATGCTATTTAGTGATATCTACTGTAAGTGTAGGCAGACACACAGAGAGAAGAATTAATATGTGAGCTGGGTCACACCTTTGTAGAAGACAGACTGAGGTGAAAGAAAATCAAAATGCACCTGGCAACATGAATTCACATGAACACAGCTGGAAATAACAACATAAAACTCCAGATCCCACTCATCTGAAGTGGGATGAAATGATCCTTCCTCACATGACACACCAAAAAGGCCAATACATGCCATGTAGAGGGCAAAACTAAAAGGCAGCGCTGATCTAGGTCAATCCAGCCCAGCTCCCCACCCAGGCTCCCTCTGGAAACTCCACTGGCTTTCCTAAATTCCCGGGACCAACCTCCTCGCCGCTGGCCATCCTGTGCGCCAGGTCTTTTAAGTTTCTCATCATCCTCTCATCCCGGAAGTCGTAAGGAAATGTTTCTGTCCACTCTGTCAGGAGCTGGAGAATTTTAGGTGCAATTTTTCTCATCTGGTTCTAGGGAGAAAAAGAAGTCCACGTCAGAGATACACACCAGCATGGTCTGCATTAAATAAATAACCAAGTAACTGTGTCACTGGCTAACTGCTATGCTGCACATCCTCTGGGGTCAAACCCTCCTCCACATCAACGCCAACTCCAGTTAACAACAGCAGGACAGAGGGCTCCTCCGTGACTTTTATACTGCTCATTGGTTTCTTTCATTTTATTTTGCAGGGCTGGGGATCTGAGCTAGGGCCTTACACTTGGGAGGTAAGCATTCCATTACTGAAACACTTCTGCAGTCCTACACCGCAGTCTTTACACCATTCCCAATTCCATATGCATGGCCATCATGCCACTTAGGCACATCAGCCTGGGGCTAGGCTAGGGTCACTTATGGAAATCGTCATCACAAAATCTAGGCCAGAGTTAGCAGATCTAATTAAAAAGAAAAAAAAAAAACCCATAAAACTCAAATGTCGCATTACCTTCTCGCTATCCCCTTCACTCAGTCGCTGGTGCTCAACACACAAGTGGCAGACTTTGGCCATTAGCTCGTAAGGATGCATGAATAGGCGAGAACTAAGCAGGAAGGTGAATATGTATGTTCTCTGCAGCAAGAGAAAAAAAAAAGTTGTCATCGTTTCAATCTCTCAGAATTCATGCTATCCCAGAATATTATAACCTTCTTATACATTGAAGCTAAGAGGCTGCAGGTTCCTGTAAATGCCTGCTCGTAAAACAGCATTAGATAATTCCCCTTCATCTCACCTTATCTTTCCCCTTAAAACACACTAAAAATAACAGGATAAATTCGACTCCTGAAATGATCCGGAGGACATTTTCTTATCTGTCTTTGGGGAGCCAGGACATATTCATTTTCCAGTGTAATCAAGAATGAAATTCAGTCCAGAGAAGCCAGACTGGCTTCAATATGTTGCCCACACTGAATAAGCCTAGCTGTCCACATAACTATTGTAACCAATAACAAACACACAACTGAGAAACGAAAGCCCACCTACCCTACCCGCATTCAGAAGAACCGTCCAGTGTGCCCCGTGTAGCGCACGGTGTTTGTGTCACAACTCAACTAACCCACTGGCTTGCTCGGGACTAAGAGACCTGATAAAGCACGACAGAACACGACAGACTCTTCTTTAACCACACTGTCCCCCAGGAAGCCAGTGAGGAAGCAGCGCTTATTTGTTCTAACAGTTTCTGGCTCTCGGTGAAAAGAGGAATTCCATGGATTGTTTGCTTCTCCCAAGCCTCCTTTGGCACCTTTAGGTGGTTCATAAACACTTACAGTACTGAACAAGGGACTCCTTTTACTTCTGATAGCAAGTTTTCCCTGTGTGGGAACATATTTGAAAATGCTATGCAATGAATCACACGGAGATAACTCAGTAAGGAACATGGGGGTGAACGACCATTGGCGAGCACGCGCTCTCCTTTGCACGACAAGGTTATTATTGTCGTTATAAAAACTAATGAATGTGGTCTCTAGGTATTTCCATGAACTCACCGTCAATAAACAGCTGCCCATTAAACCCAACCTTCTTGTCCTTCTAAATTCAGCTCAACAGACACAAGAGGGGAGGGGAACGCACTTGACCCAGGAGGGAAACCTGGTTTGACCGCTGGTACTGAGAGGAGCCAATGTGTAAATGGGGTGTTGGGTTTCCATTGTCCACCCCGCTCTGGGAACAATGAAGACTGAGCTAATGTACAGCGGCTTTCCTGGGTTAGAAAGTGCCGTCTGTACAAATGTAGGTTAGCAAGAGAAGGCCAAAGTGAAGCCACCACCACCACCCGATGTCCAATCTATTCATCAGTGCGTCTGTGCGTAACGTCTCTCTCTATGTACTTTCCCCAGTTACATTAATTTCATACTGATGTCCAATCTATTCATCAGTGCATCTGTGTGTAACTTACCTCTCTATGTACTTTCCCCAGTTACATTAATTTCATATGACAGGAGCACCCAATGCTCTTTCTAATTGCTTTTTCATTTATGGAACGAGGAATAGGCATGGATCAAGTCTACAAATCTCTCTTCATTTAGACTGCCTAAAATGTGGTGGACAGACAACTTAAAAAGAATCAGATGTGGAGACTTTGCCACAATCTGACCCATCCCCAGGCTCAATTTGGTCTCAGAACTTTCAATGATTACTGTGCAATTCTTCTTGGAAAAAAATCTTAGCAACCAATGTAACCCCACAGCAAGGATAGAATCCCTACATAGTGAGTGCAATTTCTAATCCATACCAAAAATGGGTTTCAGAGGAACATCAATACCTACATCTGGATAATAATCCACATTGGGTACTAGGTGCTGGATAAGAGCCTCCAGAGATCCAGAAAGGAGGTTATTGTCATGGTAATACAAGCCTCCACAGCTGTCCTCTGCAGACTGGTAGAGATTTCGGTTGTAACCACTGCTGTCAAACATGGCTGAAAAGGGAGGTGTCTGAGGCATACTTTCCTAAAAGGAATAAAAAACAAGAAAACACAGTCATCAGTGACATGTGACATGAAAAGTAAGGTTTCATCAGTAATTCCTGTGATAGTGGAAGGCAGGCAGCTTAAGAAAATAGCTATGACACACTGTCAGAACTATGAAGAGCCAAAGTGCTCTGAGTTTACATGCACACATACTTTCAATTAAATATTACCAAATGCTTAGTAGTCTGGACTTACTCCACATGGTGTCATTTTCACACACACTCCTTTACAGCCACTTGTGAGCAGCTGTAGAGAAGCCTGGTTCCAGTTGCTGAACCTCATTGAGTCAAGGATTTTCAAGTCAAGACGTCACTCGGCTGAATTAGATAAAACCTGAGGAGACTCTGACAGGCACTGGACATGTGGAAGAGCACCAAGGCTGAGGTTGAAAAGCATGTAATTTGCAGGAGACCCGGAATGAAAGTGCATAGCGTGTGTCTTTGCCTGTGTGTGTCTAACGTGTGTTTATGTTTGCGCACGTCAAGAGATGTAATGCTGGCTCCCCAGCATGTTATTTGCCCTTTCCTCCTCTCCTCAAATCTCACGTTAGAGATGCTGTGTGTCCTGTGTGCAAAGTCTCCGTCTCAGACAACAGGCAGGCCGAGAAGGCACTTTCTATAGGAACAGGGCGTACTGCCTCAGCCTAGATAAGTTGCTCTTGCCCATCTGTGCGTTGTCACTCATGAAGCCCTGTCAGACAGTGCTCAGTGAAGGCCAGAGGCCATTCCGTTATTAGTCGGATTTCTGGGGACCTAGTGCAGGGTTCTGAGAGCAGACTCGGATTTCTGGCTATGTGTCTGGACAATACAGGACTGGCGGAGCCTGGGGATTCGGAGCTGAGGGAAAGCCAAACCTATGCCCAGGACTGACAGGGAGCAGCTTATAGAGGTTGCAGGAAGACACAACCTGGGCAAATCCTTCTTTCAAGATGCTGAAAGGTATCTGCACCTAAATGAGGGGGTGGAGCTCAGTCCTCCAGCACATCTGTTCCACCTATAGGGATGGGGCGGGGCGGGGCTAAGAGCCTCATAACAAGGTGGTGTGCATGACTTGGGTAGGTGGTGCCCAGGGATAGGGTGTTAGAACAAAAATCTATAATGCTAACGTGGCAAATAAAAACAGCATTTAGGAAGAAAGAGTATCAAGAAAGATATAGAGATACAGAAGTGCTGGACATGGTGGTACACGCCTTTGATCTGAGCACTCCAGAGGCAGAGGCAGGCAGATCTCTGTGAGTTCAAGGCTAGCCTGGTCTACAGAGTGAGTTTCAGGACATCTGGGGATATGTAGAGAGACCTTGTTTCAAAAAGAAAGTAAGATATAGAGAAAAACAGCATCTTGTTGTGACCTTTATCAACCGAAAACCAGTACAGAGAGAGAATTTCTAAAAGTTCCATAAAAAAACAAAACAGTGAAAATAGGAAGAAAGCTAGTTATCTTTGGGAACCACTCCACTGGGATTTCACCACCTGGGCCCCAGAGTTATCAGTGTTGTGCTTCAGTTAGGTAGGACTAACTAGATGGTCCTAACAGCCAAAGGTCACAGACTAGACCATCAAATCATCTAGTGGATGGTTAAATAATCAGGACAACCACTCAGATGATGAGACCTGACTTGCAGAAACTGTGGGTAAATTAAAACAAAACAAAACAAAAAGAATTCTCAGTGTTATTGTCTTATATGACATAGACAGGGGTGAATTTCTTTCCTCTTCAAATTGCCACTTTTCCTGAATATAATTCAGGTATAATTCACTTGTTATAAATTGTTGGTCCCTGATGAGACAAAGAGAGGAGCAACCCTTGTTCTCAGAAGCTGGGCCCAACCTCACACTCAGAGGCAGGACCTGAGATGCCAGCCTCACCTACGCTACTTCTCATGCCCCGAAGGAACCTTATCTGGATATGGTTGTCAGTATCTTAGAACAGCTTCTAACAGTGGCACAGCATCCTTCATACACAAGATAAAGAATAAGAATCTGGGAGATGGGAAGCTTTTCTACCCAGAACCATGAATTTTCCTTGACGTTGCTACTCAGTTATAACTGAATCCAATCTACTCAAGTGTCTTTGGGAGATGGTTGGCCAGGACTTAAGAACTCCAGAAAATCAAAAAATGATAAACATCCAAAAGGGCCACAGAAACTGTTTGAAAGGTAAAAACTAGATTTCATTTCAAACTACAATCAATTAGAAGTAGTAGGTCAAGAGGATCAAGGATGGCCCAGAGGCTGTGGGGGCTGGAACTCAATGGTAAAGGTTATCCTGAGTGATCAGGACTGACTGTAAGAGGCCATAGAATAAGCCATGTGCCCTCACGGTCAAATCCAAACCCCTCTTTCTATAAATGTGGAACCTGGGGCTCAGGAAGGTGAACTGGGGTGACCAGGCTAACATAACACAGTCATGTGACTGCAGTACAAAGTGGGTCTCCAAGGAATCTTGGCTTATTAGCAGTAAAGAGCTTACCGGATAGTCCCAGATCACCCCAGTCCCCTTTCAAGGGCTCATCCCCAAAGCTATCAGTATTTGTAATTCTTATTTACTCTCCTGTAAAGTAGATAAAAACTTAGATTCCACTCCCACCCACTACCCCCTAAATTCAGACTCAGTTCTGGAGAGATGGTTTAGCAAAGAACATTCACTGTTCTTACATAGTTCATAGCACCCACATGAAGGCTCTAACTCTAGTTAGAGGGAACCCCAAAACCTCTGCAGACCCCTGCATGCATGTGCTGCACATATACTCATGCAGGCTCACATACATACACATAAATAAAAATCTTAAAAAAATGATTCAAACTCATTGAAATAGCACTTGATAGTTTTGAAGTTTAGAAAGTTATTTGTCCCACGTCCCAGGTACATTTCCCACCTGTCACTTCAGCTTTCCTCACCTTGACCCAAACCCTGAATGACATACACACACATTCATCCATATTGATAGCCTGTCTGTTTGGCAAAGTTCTTCTTAGAACATTATTTTTAGAGTTGTGGCAAAAGCTTTTAGGGATCATATCAACTCTCTCTAACCACAATAGCAGCACTCAGAAAATGCCCCCCAAAGGCTTCTCAAAAAAATACTGTAAGTAGAGATGGCAACCTAGCCGAGGTGAGTTAATCAGTACTGTAGCTTATTATACCTAAACCATCAACTGAAGGAAAGAGTGTGGCTCTGGCCATTATTTGCCTTCAAGTCCATCCAAAGGCCTGTTGCTACCATAGCAACAGTCAACGGCTGAGACCCAATCATGACAAGAGACCTCCATGCAATGGGGACATTTCCTCTTCCTTGCCTTGTGCTCGGAACCACACCTCTGACATCTATAAGCCCTGTTCTGTTCATGAGTTCCCCTTCCTCTCACTGTGATCTCAGACACTGGAAAAGTCATCCACATTCCACAAGCTTCGAATTCCCCATTAAGCTGTCTCTGGAGAGACACACATGCTAGGCTCTGAGAACCTACCTCACTAACTTCTCATGCCCTAAGTTTACTGACTACAGAGGACTTTCTGGATTACCATCTGGTAATTCTTGTAATTCTTCTTCACATCCATTTGTGGTAGATGTCTTGTTTTGCTTTGTCCCCCCCCCCCATGCCTGAGAAACAAAGACTACACGCTTGGGATTACATATAAAGTAACAGGCAGAGGACAGCTTCGAACCCAGGTCTCCAGATCCCAGGTACAAACTTTATTATGCCACTTACATTACATTAAAAATAGTCTTTGAACTTCTAATATTTAACTATAAAAAGAAAATCCCAACATTTTGCCTCAAATCATATGCTATTAGAATGATTTACATGTTTTACACATTCTGCATAGATTCTTGTTCATAAGATATATTAAAACCATGAACTACTCTTATTTAAAAAAACAGACTGTCAACGGTAGTAGTTAAGCTACTGACTTGATAATCAACACACAGTGCCATCTAGACAGAAAGTTCAGAGATTCTAATATGCGCTTTAGAAAGCCTACTTTCTTTACAACTGGGAAGCATGTGTACCTGAATAAAGAGGTTTCGTTGAAAGTTGCTTAAGCAGCATATGAAATAACAGAGCACTGTACAGTAGATGGCTCGACCCTTACCTGGGGCTCAATGAAATACAGAGGTGTTTTCTTTACAGATTACCAGCAAAAGAAAATTTTAATGAGCCAAATAATAACAGAAAGATCATGGAACATAGTGTCCATCACTCATTTCAGACAAGTTCTAGCTAGCAGCCAATCCAGAAGTTTTCTGACAGTCTAACTGCCCATGTAGGAGTAGATAAACACAAAGCCAGCAGAATGGCACAGAATGTACTGTTTGGAAACTTCATCTTAAATACCTAAGAAGTTAAGCCACAGCAATTCAGTTTCTCTCAAGCATCCCCTGTACTGTGACCCACGTCTTTAGCTAGGGTTTGTTCAACAGCACTCACATTCCACGTCAAGACCTTGCACTCTAGAAGCTTCAGTTCTGGAGCTGAAAACTGAGGCCCAGATGACAAAATAAGATTGTAAACTGTTAAGAAAATAAACTCAGTATCCAAAGTACTAGACACAAGAATCAGAGACTTATCGATCCCTGGCCTCCACTATCCCCAATGAATCCCCAAGGGAGATCTGGGCAAGAAGAAGCTGCTCTTAGCCTCTGGCTCCCATTCGCCTTTCTACCTCACTGAAGTTCTGATGCCTTCACTGTACAGTCCTCGTGACTACTAAGTTCTGGCACTAGGGTTCATGTGCTTTGAGCTGACACCTTCCCACACTTTCTAAAACCAGCCCCTCCACTGTCCACCTTTTTCTTTTATGCAAAAATCTGTCCTGTCCAATATACCTATAAATGGGGACCTGCTAACTAAATGCCCTGTTTAGGAAATAGAGACTATTTCAAAATTAGAATGTATGACAGCAGTCAGTTAAATTATGGCTTGATTTATACCTAACAAACATAAAAAGAGTTAATTCCTTTGAAAAAGAGATTTGTAT